TGTATGCATGTATTGCCTGCATGTAGGTAAGTGCACCCATGCCATGCAATGGCCTTGGGGGACAGAAGAGGCTGTCGGATCCCCTGGAACTGGAGTTATGGACAGTTGTTAGCTGCCATGTGGGTGCTGGGATTCAAACCCAGGTCTTCTGCAAGAACCAGTGTTCTTAACTGCTGAGCCATCTCTCCAGCCCCAGTAGCACCCACTTTTAGTCCAGCATTCAGGAGGCAGAGGCAGGCAGATCTCTGTGAGATGAGGCCAGTCTGGGGCTACAGGGAGACCTTGTCTCAAAAAGAAAAAGAAAGCTCAATGAAGAAATAAATGGCAAACAACAACAAAAAGCTTTGGTTTATGTTTATAGTCTTGCTTCTGTATATTTAAAGTTAAAATCTTAACTTTAAAAATTCATTAAGTCAGCTGGGCGTAGTGGCACACACCTTTAGTCCCAGCACTCCGGAGATGGAGGCAGGTGGATCTCTGTGAGTTCAAGCAAGGCCAGTTTGGTCTACATAGTGAGTTCCAGGCCAGCTGGGACTCCAGGAAGACCCTGTCTCAAAACAAAAACAAAAACCTCATTAAGTTTTGGGACTGGAGAGTTAGCTCAGCAATTAAAAGTGCTTCCTACTCTTCCAGAAGACAGATCAGGTTATTATTATTCATTATTACGAGGCTCACAACTTGCCTATAACTCCAGCTCCAGAAGATCTGATGTCCTCTTCTGGCCTCTGCACATACACACATAGGCACACATAAAAATAAGTAAATAAAATGAAAACTTATTAAATCTAGCTCTAAACTAGAGATTCTGAAAGTTAAGATTTTGTTTCTTTTAGATTCAGCATCTCGCTATGTAACTCCTCCTACCTCAGCCTCAGGAATTCAGGCATGGGGTATCTGGCTAGGCCATGAAAGATTTCAAAAGAAAAATCAATGCCCTCCCACATGAATAGAGAAATAACTACCAATACAAGTATTCTGTCTCCACTCATAAAACAGACAAACACGGTTGTTCTCTAGTTTTATTTTTCCCCAGCACATGAACTACAGCTCATTTTGAGGTTTTTTTTTTTTTTTTCCAGTGCACTTCACAGCAAAAATGAAAAGGGAATCATTAAAATGGTTGTACACAAACTAATTCTTGTTCTTATAATTTACAATCTGCTGAAAAATTGTTGCTGTTTCATCCTGTTAACCCTTCTTAAAAAAAAAAAAAAAAAACATACATTTCTCAGAGCACAAAGCTGCAGCTTCCCACCACGCCACAGACACAGCCGGCTAGCTGGGCTGACGGTGACAGGTCTATACTGCACACACTGATCGGAAGACCACATGGGAGGACAGAGTAAGGCACCACTCTTGGAAAGTTAAGGTAGCTTGCAGTAACAAGTGTGGAGCACCTCGAGTAGGTGCTCAATAAATACTCCAATGAATGAAAACCATAATTAACACTATTCTGTTAATTGCCAGCAATTCTTCAACCACAATAAAATACAAACTTTTTAGAAAGAAAAAATTTGCCAGTGTGGTAGCACACGCTTTTAATCCCAGCACTTGGGAGGCTTAGGCAGAGGCAGGTGGATCTCTGTGAGACTGAGGCCAGCCTGGTCTATACAGCAAGTTCCAGGCCAGTTGGGGCTACAGGGAGACCCTGTCTAAAAAAAAAAAAAAAAAAAAAAAAAAAAAAAAAAACAAGGAGAAAAACACACCTGAATGCAATTTCCTGGTATTATTTTTCCTGATTATCTTTTTATTTCATACTCTTTCTTCAGCATTTAGATTTCCTTGAAAAGAAAAACCAAACTTTATCTGCAGTCACATACATAATTGAATTACTCAATATGAATAGGCAGTAGTTCTAATTTTTGAGTGAACAGAGGTAAATAAAGCAAACTTCCTCAGAAGGTAGCACATAATACTGAGTAAGAACCTACAAATGAAGAGGGAGGGAAGAGTAACAGTTCCATCTTTCATATTTGCTATTTTCTTTAATGCCTTAGTTCTTGAGAAAGACCAAAATCTCATACTGACATGAACACATTTTAAAAAACTGTTCCTTAGGTGTAATATTTAATAAAACTAGATATTGAAAAATGTTCTGAAATGTTTCAAGTCAATGTTGTTTTCAAGTATATTAAAATGCTCAGAAGAAAAAAATCCTCCATGGTTATAACTCTAATCAATTTATAAATACATTTTTAAAAGAGAGTTCCAACAGAGGTGAATAATGGGCAAGTTCCTCAGACACAGGCACACAGTCTTTTTGAGGAAAAAGGATTCCTTATAACTACAGCCTGGGAATTTGTTTTTGTTAACACTGATTTCAGGCACAACGGCTGAATCCACTTCTAGGTCACGTTCTTCTTCCTCCTGGTTTGCTTATAAGAGTAGTGAATATTCCAGCTATGGACAGAAAGCAAAACACAAACTCTGAAAGAGACCGCTTTTCACTACAAAGGAACCAAAGTCACTGAGTTCACACTGCTGTGGATCTGCTGCCCCTGTGCAGAACAGGGGATTCGAGCAACTTTAGAAGTTGTTTCTGATGATTCCAGTGAAAGGCTGTGAGATGGTACTGCTCACATCACCTGACCAGGTCGCTGAGAGGCCCACTGTGTTTCCTTAGCCCTTTGGTCTTGCTGCTGTGTCATGGTGCCTAGTAGGTACATTCGTATTTAGCTAGTTTCAGTCTGTACAGTCAGGAAGCAGGTCACTCAGTGCAACAACTCCCGTCTGACAGGGTTTGGGGTAACAAAGGTGACCTCATTTGCTTGAGTCTTATGAGCTGTGCATCACTCTGCTGCTTGTGTTGGAATTACATTCCAAAGGGGTTTGTGATAAACCCAGCCATCCCCCTGAAACAAGCAGAAAGACAAATTAAAGAGCCTTCCGATAGTTTCATAATCAGAAACTAAAGCCAAGAATAATACTGAAGGTACAAATGGATTGTGCTTAAGATTTTGTCAGGCAATACTTGCAACTCAGCTAGGGATGTTATGGTTTCAGTGTGAGCTGTCCCTATAGGCACACGGAATGTTTAGGAAATCATGGAACTTTCTGGGGGTAGGTCCTTGCTGGAGGAAGTGGGTCACTGTGGGGAAGGGATTGTGCCTGCCTCTGCTTCCCACTGAGCTGAGTGCCAAGGCGATACAAGTCACGGGCACAGCCAGAGCTACTGTAGTCAGGATGCCTTCTTGGTGGACTACCAGGTGGGTGCTGGGAACTATGTCTTATGCAAGAGCAGCAACCACTCTTAACTACTGAACCATCTCTCCAGCCCCTAGCTGGACTACTTTTAAAAATAAAGATATGCCAGGCATGGTGGCGCACACCTTCAGTCCCGGCACTTAGGAGGCAGAGGCAGGTGGATCTCTGTGGGTTCAAGGCCAGCCTGGTCTACATAATGAGTTCCAGGTCAGCTGGGGCTACAGGGAGACCCTGTCTCAAAACAAACAAACAAACAAACAAACAAACAAGATATATAAGAGCTAGCAACTCAACAAAGCCAGTAAGCCAGAGTTCTCACTAGGCAGACAATGAGCTTTGGCCTGAACATGTGCAGGACTTACCTCTTTAAGAAAATACTTGGTTTTCCAGGGTGTGCCTGTTTCAGTTCGAAACCGTTCTTCAGTCCTCTGGCGTTCTTCCAGGGCCCGCTTGTGCTCTGTGGCCTTGTCAGTGTCAGCCTCCCTCAGAGACTCTGTCACATTTTTCCATAATCGTCTAAAATTTTAAAATGGCCTATTTTATAAACAATGTTTTTTTTAAGGCAATTTAAAGTTATAGTGATCTCTAATACTTCCACTTCCCACATCTGAACGGCAGTTTCATGCCTGTAAGTTACAAGCGCACTGATGCTGCCCAGCACTGATGCTGCACCCATTGTTGATGCCCAGCACTGATGCTGCACCCAGCACTGATGCTGCACCCAGCACTGATGCTGCCCAGCACTGATGCTGTACCCATTGTTGATGCCCAGCACTGATGCTGCCCAGCACTGATGCTGCACCCAGCACTGATGCTGCACCCATTGTTGATGCCCAGCACTGATGCTGCACCCAGCACTGATGCTGCACCCAGCACTGATGCTGCACCCACTGTTGATGCCCAGGTGGTAGCGGCGGCTACTGCTTTTTTACATTAAGAAGTTAAATTTTAAAAAGTATTTTCTCAAGTTATAAAACAATAATTTTGTTTTCAGAAAACTTTTAGGAATTATAAAATGAGACATTTGAAAAAGGTTGAAATGTATGAAGCTGAGAATATGACCCATTTGGTAGGGTGCTTGCCTAACGTGGATGAGGTCAAGGCTCAATCCCCAGCAACATAAAGCTGGGCATGGTGGTGCACACCTGCAGTTCCAGTAATTGGAAGGTGTAAGCAAGAAGGATCAGAAGTTCAAGGTCATCCTCAGCTATCTATGGAATTCATGGCCAGCATGAGAAAAAAAAAGAAGCCCTAAAACCCAAAAGGAAGGCAAATAAGCACTGTGATTCATACGTACAACTGCCCGCTATGCCCAGGAAGCAGTTTTCTTATATGTATTCACTACCTTGGGCTCTTACAATCTTTCCACCCCCTCTCCCACAATGATCCCTGAGCCTTGGAAAGAGGTGTGATAGAGGAGTCCCTGAATGGGACCCCACAGTGTCTTACTCTCTGCAACTAGATTTTTGTGTTAATTGCCATCTACTGCAAGAAGAAGCTTCTCTGGTGAGAGCTGAGAGATGTGACAGCACACACAAGACCTGAGCAAGCCCAAGCCAGAAAGAAACCCAGCATGGATGTGGGGGGTGGTCAAGAAGTCCCAGTCCTAGCTGAGGATCAATTGATAACTGCTGGGGGAGAGTCAGTTTTCTTTAAGGGTGTGATACTGGGTATGTTAACCAGGCTCCAGGGCATGGACCCATACCCTAGAGCATTTGGGAAACATAAATTAGACTCCGTAGGCCTTTAAAAAAATAATAGAGGGCATAAAGTCGAAGAGATGGGTGGGAAGTAAGACGGTGGGTAATAAGATGGAGATGAGAGAGGGACATTGTATGAAATTCTCAAAAAATCAATAAAAATAATTTTAAGGCAATAACCTGATAAAATAGATAAAAGATATAAAAATATTTTATCAAAAAAAGACAGAAATAGCTAATAAGTACATGAAAATATTTTCAACACAGTCATTGGGAACTATACACTATAACCACTAGTATTTCAGACCAGCTAAAATGAATATAAGAAGACAGACAAGGGCTGGAGAGATGGTTCAGCGGTTAAGACAGCATATTCTTGCAGAGGACCAGCGTTCATTTAGTGACCAGCATCCACATGGTGTGGTTCACAGTTGCCTGTAACTCCAGCTCCAGGGGATTCAACACCTTTGGTCTCTGCAGGCACTGTACTCATGAACACATATACCCAACACAGGTATACACACACACATAATTAAAAATAAAATGAATCTTTTGAAGAAGAGGAGGAGGAGGAGGAAGAGGAAAAGGAGGAGGAGGAGGAAGAGGAAGAGGAGGAGGGGAGGAGGAAGGAGAAAAAGAAACACAATAGGGGACGTAGACAAACTGGAACCCTAATACACTGCCAATGGGAATGAAAAATGGCACACTAATTTTGGAAAAGAGTTCTCTATAATCCTTCAATTCTATTCCTGGGTACTTACCCAAGAAAAATGAAAATGCATGTCTACACAGAAGTTCATAGTAAAATAGTTATATTTTCACCATAGCCCCAAATTGGTAATGTTGATCAATTGCAGAATGGATACCATAAAATGTAACACACCCACATATTAGAAAACTATTCAGTAATAAAAAGGAATGAACTGCTGATACATACTAGCTGATGGGCAAACCTCAAACATGTATGCTAAGTAAAGAAACTAGGCACAAGGGATCATATTATATGACTTCACATATAGGAAATATCCAGAAAAGACAAATTTATAGAGATAGAAAATAGATTAGTAGATTCCTTGGGATAGGAGTAAAAAAAAAAAAGAATGAGTCTGGGGACATCATTATATATCCTACAAAGATCAATAGAACAATAAGGCAGTATTCATTGCCAATAAACTGCTAAATCGGATGAATCGATTCTTTGGAAGACACAAGGTACTAAAGCTCACCGAAGAAGCGGACAACCGTGAATGCCTCAAAGACAAGAGAATCTGAAGCTACAAACTTTCCTCCAAAGAAAACCGATAGATGTCTTCCACAAAGATACATACAAAAATTCAACAGAATTTTAGCCAATGCAACCTAGCAGCATCTCTAACGCCTACCTTAATAACAGATTCTTCTATCTGCGTCTACATTCAATCTGCTGTAATAATATTACTACTTTAGGGAAAACAGATAAAGAAAATCTGGCTTAGGGTTAACAAAGTTTTCACATAAATCAGATCTCTGATACTGTGGGGCTGGAGAGATGGCTCAGTGGTTAAGAGTACTTCCTGCTCTTGCAGAGAGCCCAGGTTCAGTTCGCAGCACCCATAGTCGGGCATCTCACAAATGTCTGTAACCAGTTCCATGGGATCCGATGCCCTTTTCTGGCCTCCAAGCACTATACTCAGGTGCACACCCCCACACACAGACACATACTCACATACATAATTAAAAATAAAATAAATCTTTAAAAAAAAACTTGCCAATGGTGGGTTGTTTTTTCTTTCTTTCTTTTTTTTTTTTTTTTTTTTTTTTTTTTTCTATTATGGGGGAGCAGGGGAGGATTTGTATGTCACAAAGTTCCTATGAAGGTCAGAGGACAGCTTCATTAAGTCTCCAAAGGATCCTTCCACCTTTTACATAGGTTTGGAGGGTTGCAGTCAGGTTACCAGGCTTGCATGGCAAGTGCCTTTTACCACTGAGAAATCTCACCATCCAGCAAATGGTAGGTTTTTGTGTGTTTTTTTGGTCTTTTTTGAGACAGGGTCTCCCTGTAGCCCCAGCTGTCCTGGGACTCACTATGTAGACCAGGCTGGCCTTTAACCCACAGAGATCCGCCTACCTCTGCCTCCAGAGTGCTGGGATTAAAGGAGAGCACCACCATGCCCGGCATGCAAATGGAAGTTTTTAAAGGTTAGTTATAATGTTTTTTGTTTTGTTTTGTTTTGTTTTTTTGGTCTTTTTGAGACAGGGTCTCCCTGTAGCCCCAGCTGTCCTGGAACTCACTTTGTAGACCAGGCTGGCCTTGAACTCACAGAGATCCGCCTGCCTCTGCCTCCCCAGTGCTGGGATTAAAGGCGTGTGCCACCACGCCTGGCTAAAGGTTAGTTATAATGTAGGAGGCAAAAACCCATCAATTATTTTTCAACTAAAATATGTCTATATGGTATGAAACATCATAGCTGGTTTTAAATGAATTCAATCAGACCACCCCTTCCAATTCGAAGATGACGAAGCTGACAGAGTGACTTGTACAGCAGTACAAACTCATGAAAAAGTTTACTCTAGAATCCAGAGCTTCCTGGCTGGATTCGAGGCTAACATACCTGGATTCAAAGGGATCCTGCTTCTCCAGAGGCCTTACTCTTTTCTTTGTCACTGTTAATTTAGTCAGGTCCACATACTTTGTCTCCCCGTTGCTGTAAGTGAACTCGAGAATACTGTTCCATTCCCCTTGCACTCTGCACACCACAGTGTTGGTAATATTGTGCTTCACCTCAGCCGTAACACTAAAGCAGAGGGAATATAAAGACAGGTTTCAATAGGCAATACCTGGTTTGGTACTTGGAAGTCTGAACCCAAGAACTACCTTTAAAATACACTTTAAATGAGATCTCTAGCAAATTTCAATTTATCAGTACCAAAGTCAGACTTTTCACCAGTCCGCACCAGCTTTCTAGTAAGTTTTTCAAATATCAATTTTGGTTAGGTGTGATAGTGCACACCTTTAGTCCCAGCACTCAGAAAGCAGGGCAGGCAGATCTCTGCAAGTTCAAGACCAGCCTGGCCTACATAGTAAGTCCCAGGCCAGTTGGAGCTACATGGTAAGACCCTGTCTAAATAACAAACTAATAATAATAATATTTTATTTTTTAGATAGAATACCAGGCATCAAACCAGACTTCATTACCATATACAGAAAATGACCTTTAACATATTTATTGCCCTCTAAAAATACTGAAGCACTATAATCTAGCTTTCTTTTATTAGTCCTATTTACTTATTTTGAATTCTAGAATGTCAACTCTATACTAAACTACCAAAAGCCTAATTTTAAATTCAATACAGAAACTGGAGAAATCAATAAGAGCTAGAAAATATGAAATATATAAAGTTCAAACTCTGGCTAAAACAGAAAAAAAAAATCAGATTTCAAACATTATTGTTGAAGTTTAATGAAGAGTCACCCAGCTACCCATGAGCAGACACCCACACAGCTCAAATGAAGGCTGGGAAGAGGAACAGCCCAACTATTTTTAACAATGTTTATAAACCCTTCGGGACACAGGTAAGATTAGGGTCAGATTAGACACAGGTTCAAAACTCAAGAGAACAGCAGGCAGAGGCTAAGGTCTAACCAGTGTGCCAGAAATTAGGATTTATCCGGATTCAAAAGAGAGTGCAAAGGACCAAAGGTAACAGCACAGAAGTCTCAGCACAGGTAGCCTTTGTCATGTACAAGCCAAGAAAACCAAAAAGAAAGACTGAGGGAGCCCAGTGTTCCGCTGGCAAAGTAAAAGAGCTATAAACACAGAGTTCCAAGCAGAAGATAAGGAGCCCAATGAACAGTCTGTGAGCTAGAGCTTAGGAACATGGTGGATGAAGGCTTGGAGACCAAAAGCAAGCCAACATTTAAAATTGCAAGTCAGGAGTAGCTGGTAACTGGTTCAATGGCCACAAAGAACACAGCTACAAGTTAGCTTGGTTACAGGGGTCGGGAACCTTGGGTTCATTTCAAACCAGGTGGCTGTCTGGAGAAGCTATACTCATCCTCTGGCATGAGCTATGTGCTGTTACTCAATGTACTCAGGAACTGATCACATAGTACCATTATTACAGGATTGCCATAGGCCATCAAGACTGGACAATTAACAGGTTGGGCATGGGGCTCCTCTCTATACTCCCAGTTAGTACTTAGCCAAGTAAGTAGGTATATAATAGATGCTGCCTGCATCATCTATGAGAAATTGAAGCCTCCAAGAACTTAAACAACATGGTCAAGTTAATATCACCACCAGAATAAGTGTGGGCAAAAGCATGCCCAAGAGAACACCGGTTGTCTGGCGTTCACTGAATACCTACAATATGCTGGCATTTTAGATAAATTCTTTGTCAAGACTGTGTCTATCTTATTTCTGCAGATGAGGATACCAAAGTACAAAAACGTAGGTGAAGTGCTCCACATCAACTAGCTAGTAGTAAGAGTCAGGATTGACTCAAGTTCAGACGGGCTCCAAAGCCCAAGTTCTGTCTAATACTTTGTCTAATACTTCTAGATATGTTTCATAAAAATAACTTGACCTTAAGTCTGCCATTATACCATATCTTTGAGCAGTAATATGCAGATAAAGACAAAGTACTTCAGAGAACTATTTATAAAACAAAGAGAAATTAGGGAACTAACCCAAAGAAATGAAGTTAAGCTCTGCTCACACCAACTCCGCCATTAGGCTTCCTGCTACAACACAACGGAGTTGAGGGATTTTGGGACTACTTAGACCAGGTTGTTTTTTTAGTGTATATGAGTGTATTGCCTGCATGTATGTGAGTATTTTAAAAGCTATCATGAAAACTATACCAGAAAGCTATGTCAGGGACAGGTATGAGATAAACTGAGTTTCAGGGCTCAGAACCCACTGCAGAAGAGGGGGAGGAAAGATTGTAAGAGCCAGGGTAGAGGTACATGACCATATGGAAACAGAGTCCTATAGGCTCCTGGGACCCTTTGCATATGATCCTACAGCAATGGTGTCATTATGCACAACACCCATGCAAACTCAAGCAAACAAAAACCCAGCACAGAACTGTGGAAATGGACAGACGGCTTAACTTACTCTTAGTAGAAGAATTATTGGCAGCAGATTACTACTAGGTGAGGAAGAGCTGATCTCCTTAAACGGAGGGACTCTAGATAGGCTGGCTAAACCCCAGTGGATAAACTTGCACTGAGGGACATCTCAGGACACTAACTTTACATAATAGGCCTTAACACAAATGACAAAAATATATGAATTCGGGGGGGGGGGCTAAAGGAGGGGGGGCCAATGGAGAAGAGGGTATAAATATGATTAAGATGTTCTATATGAAATACACAAAAATTCAATTAGATAGTACTAGGAAGGACCTCAATGACCTCATCCATAAAAACCTCTCCCTCCACAGTGCTCATGACAGACTTTAAATGTTTATAAAAACACCTACTTGCTTTAAGTAAAGTTTTATATGTGCCTATCCACAGCAGACAAAAAAAGTTGTGATCAAAGGGTCTGGTTTTTCTTCAATGTATCAACATGATACAGACTGTTTCCTGCTAAGTTCTGAGACTCAAAGCAGTTCTCTGTTATCTGCCCACAAATGAGCTGTTACTTTTTCTTTTAGGTTTGTAGTGGGACTGTCACTGATTGAGATGAAACTACTTCAAATAAATCACTCTTCATTACCCACTGCTTTTGATGAGCATCCTTTAAGAACCAAGAATGATCCTAAGAAGCTATTATACTTAATGAAAGCTTCTTGGTGGCACAGTCTTTGTCTGTTCTCCTGTATGGAGATGTATGATACACATAAATCATTCTAAAATCCTGATATATCATCACATGTTCTCCATATACATTATACATACATATATATAATTATTCTAAAGTGAGCACGGAAAGTTGGACCAGGAGCTGGACAGGACTAGAGAATGGTTAGGTGAGCTCACTTGGCTGCATCAGAGACAATAGTAGAAAATGTGGGAGTAAGGGACCACAGGTAGAATGTAATATATTTATATCAAATGTAGACAGCAGATAACGTGTCTGCTTCAATTATAGATAGCAGCAAAAACTAGGCTATATCTAAGGCATGGCCATTAAAAAATATAGGAAGAAAAAAGATTTAAGCTATATTTTATTTTAAAAAAAGAGAAAAAAAAGTCAAGAATAAGAATTTCTAGTATCAGTCTTCTAAACAAGATGGTAAAGTCATTAGCCTTAAGGGAGATCAGAACAGAAAAGATGAGAGAACTCTGGAATCACCCACAATCACCCCTTAGAAGTCAGAGGGGAGCTGAGTGTGGTAGCACACACCTGTAATCCCAACACTTGAGAGATGGAGGCTGAGAATCAGTAGATAGCGATTTCAAGGCCAGAGTGGGTTATGTGAGACCCTCACTCAAAAAGATAAAAAATTTAAAAATCAAAGTAGTCAGATGGTTCACACCTTTAATCAGTTCTTGGGAGGCAGAAGCAGGTGAACCTCTGTGAGATCAAGGCCAGTGCGGTCTACATAGTGAGTTCTAGGCCAGCTGAGGCTCCAGGGAGACCTTGTATCAAAAATCAAACAAATAAGCAAGCAAACAAACAAAAATCAAAAAACAAAGAATGTTATGAATGAATGAGAAAGACTGACTGAGAGAGTTTATGTGCCTAACTGATAAGATTCAAATATGCCTTGTGGATAAAAAGTAGAATGGGGAAAGAAGCCAAATGAATAAGAAAGTTACAGAAACAAGGTGGCAAATACAGCAATTGCTCATTTCTTTAAAAAATGAAAGGCTGGGTGTGATAGCATGCACCTGTGATTGGAGCACTTGGGACATAGAGGCAGGAGGATTATCAAGACTGTAAGGACAGCCTAGTCTACATAGTAGACCAGCTAGAGCTGCATGGTAAGACCCCTGTCTGAAAATTTTTAAAAATGGGGGCTGAGAGTTTCTGGTCTGGCATTTCAGGATCCTATGTCTAACTCCATCGCCCCGTGACCCATTGTAGCCGGAGCCCCAAGGCACAGTGCTACTCGTCTGGAATCCCGACATGGGGTTGGTGTCATTTGAGGATGCAGCTGTGGACTTCACTTAGCAGGAGTGGCGGGAGCTGGATGCTGCTCAGAGGAACCTCTACAGGGATGTGATGCTGGAGAACTACAGAAGCCTGGTGTTCTTGGGGCACTGCATGACCAAATCTGAGTTGATCATCAGGCTGGAGCATGGATTTGAGCCATGGAGCATAGGAGAAGCCTCACTTTGGAGTGTGCCAGGTGCCCCTATTACTAAAAGTTGCCTGGAAAATCAAGAGAGACATGTGTGGCAAGTGGGAAACACCAAGAGTAACCCATCAAGTGAGATTATGGCTGAAAAATGAAGATTCAACCAGAATTTCACAGAAGTGTAAAATCCTTTGAAAGTCAACCATGTGTGAAAATGATTAACCTCATGTCACAACACACCAAGATGCACACATATCACTCAAGTGTGAAATCTTCTGAACATAACAAATATCAGAAAGCTTTCTGTTCTAAGTCCAGTGTCACTGCACATCAGAACCTTCATACAAGCGAGGAGCCCTATGAATGTAAAAAATGTGGTAAATATTTTTACGCAAATCAGACTTCACTAAACATCAGAGAACTCATACAGATGAGAAGTCCTTTGTGTGTAAAGAATGTGGCAAAGTTTTCTTCTATAAGTCATGGTTTACTCTCCATCATATAAATCATACCTGTGAGATGCCCCATGGATGTGAAGGCT